TCAAGAAGCTAACTGAAAGTAGCAAGAAGCTAACTGAAAGTAGCAAGAGGCTAACTGAAAGTAGCAATGAGCTAGCTAAACATAACAAGAGGTCAACTAAAAGCTAAAAATAGCAGAAATATATGTGAATGAGTTCAAAGTATCAGGTTAGCAAAAGCTAAAAGTAACAAAAGGCTAAAAATGAGCTAAAATAAAAAAATATTAAAAGGTTAGCTAAAAGTAGCAAGAGTTTAGCTAAAAGTAGCAAAAGGCTTTTAAAGAGCTAAAAGTGTAAAGGCTAAAAGAGCTGAAAGTAGCAGAAGAAAACAAAAATAGAGCTTGTTTTCTGGAGCAGGTTTCAAATAAATTGAAGTTATCAATGTATTTCTATGAGGAAAATATTTGTATATAAAGTTAAATATTTTGAAAAGTATAATGTCCAGGGTGTACCCCGCCTATTGCACAGTGATTGCTGGACATGGGCACTAGTGACCCCCGCAACCCATAAAGGAAAAAGCGGGTAAAGATAATGGATGGATGGACAGATGGATGGATAGATAAAGTTCTGGAATCCAAGTCATCATACCCATCTCCTGAATGTTTTGATTTATTAATGGCTAAAACAGACCAAGGCGTGCAGAAATAATATTGCAAAATGTACAGAAGAATAAAAAACTGTAAAACAAGAACTGTAAAATTTCAGCTCTTTAAAATGCAGTGATTTATCACCTGTGACAGCATATTCTAACATTTAGTTAATAAAACCAGACAGACGTGATGGTGCCTGTTGTCAAGCTGTGCAGACCACAGGAAGTCTCTTGTGTCCGGCTCAGTGGGGACTGCCTGAAATCTAAACCTGATAACTTGTCACAGATGCAGCCAGATGTGTCCCTGAGGACGAGTCAAGCCGCTCTGCCCAGGACCTCCTCCCTTCGTAAACACCGCCAACCCTCGCTGCACTAATGACCGAGCACGACCGTTACACGCCGGGCAAAAGATTAAAGTCACTTTGAAGCCACTAGTTTCACCAACTGGAGGGCAACTAACATAATAAACAGTTTATAAATATTTATCTACTATTGGAACTTCTGTTTTAATTTCAGAAAGCAATCATTAGAGTTAAAATAATGACCTGATGTTTTAATGAAAGATCAATTTTAATCATCACTTCATAGAAAGCGCACAAGCTCCGATTACCTGCTTCAAACGAACATTCTGACTGTAAGTCTGGAGATATTTTCCAGCTGAAAACATTTGATTTTATTACCGGACATGCTTTATTTTATTTTGTTAAAGCACATCAAGGGTTTGCAGCACTTGACGTGTTATTCACTGTCAAACGCAGCCAGTTTCAGCTTTGACAAACTAAATGTGCCGTCTGCTCTTGCTGTCAGACTTGAACATTTTTCCCATGGTTACAAAAACAGTTGGTCAACTGCTATGAGAAGTGCAGCCATTTTGATTTTAGTTTTGCAATTTCAGTTTAAGACGGAGCGCAGCATTGAAACGAACAATTCTTGTAGTTTTTCTGTTTGTGAAATGAGAACGTCTTTAAATGCAGCTGATTTTAAAACACTGATGCTGCACGAGGACTGCACAGATGCAGATTCTGTGATGCTGCATCTATTCAGATCTCATTCTGTTTAACTTTGTCTGGATTCAGTGTGAGCTTTTGTTGTGCTTTAATCAAGACTTGCACTAAAGTTCAGGGTCAGTCGCTTTATTTAGGGATTGGAACTGCTGGGAAGGAATGAGGCTGATGTAAATGTCTGGAGTTCACGTCAAAACAAGCATCAATTTGTTAAAGGAAAATGGAGTTTGTGCAGCAGGTTCAGTCACACAGACCCTGAGCCGACGCTTCGTTTCTCAAGAAAAGTGATTTAGTTGATGATTTAATGTACATCTGCCTGCCCTTTAGTACGTGACAGAATTAACAAAGTTGTGAAATTAATTGTTCGTAAAAAAAAAAAAAATCTAAAATAGTTCAAGCATACTGTCAGTATCCTTAGAAATGATTATTGTAGTCAAGCTGCCGACTAAGAGTTTGGCCTTAATTAATATCACAGGCTCCGTCAAGCTTTTCATCTGCCACTCAGTCGACTGAAAGGCAGCAAACAGCCGGTAGTTTGGTGTCGTCGTGTCCACCACACTGAAAATGGAGCAGAGGAAAAAATGAGAGCTGTATCAGGAGCTCAAAATGAAGATGATAGATTAGAGATGCACGACATTGAATTTTTGGCCGATATGCCAATATGTTAAAACTTATTTGGTCGATATCAATACTGATATTTTTTCCCTAGACCTACCGGTACTTACAGAGACTACATATCTTCCTCTGCTGTGGAATTAAAATACAACATTATTCTGCATGGTCGTTGTCAGTTTGGCCCGCTAACAAATGCAGATGTCAAAAAGGGGACTGAAAATGATGCAACACTTCAACTTGGATTATGTTTAATGTCAAATTTATTCATGACATTTACTCTCTAACACAATGACAACACATGAACAGTGCAAATTTGTAAACTTTATATCGGCGAGTTATTTTGATGGAATGTCCGATATTTAACTTTATCGCTACTATCGGCTGATATCGATACCGTGCCGATAATATTGTGCATCCCTATGATTGATGTTCATGTTAAAAAAAAAAGACAAGACCACCTCCAAGCAGCCTCACGTTCCTCTGACTTCTGCTGCTAAGATTGTTAAAAAAGCATAAGGTTCATGGGGCTGATTCGAGGATCTTTGTCATTCGCATCACATGTGGTACATGAGGTGGAACAAAATTGTGTAGACAGGGTCCCAGTTACGTCCAACACAAGTATAAAATGTA